TGAAGCCTGCCAACAATAGCCTTTTTTCCTTAACTACCTTTCAGGAGTCACTAGCACAAAGACCCCCCACCCCACATATGACCCGACTTTGGTAAAAACTGATAGTTTTCAAAGAAACATTTCAAATAACATAGAAGAGATTTCCTAGCTCAAAATCCTTTGTGGGTAGGTAGTACCCTTTATATCTTTTTTTTCCTTAATATTTTGCCTACAACTGACAGGTTAAATTTGGACTCGAGATTGGAAACTGAGATGAAGAAACTAGATCTCCTATTTATACAGAACTATAGCATTTTAATCAAATGAGCTTTAGAAAAACCTGTATTCACCCTGTTTAGCAAGAAACATGAGAAAAGCAAAGAGATTTTTGCCTGAGTTGGTTCAAGCTTTGTGTATATTGTGCAAAAAAATTGCTTTTTCACTAAGAAGGCCGGTGCCATCCGTGACATTCCTTGTTGCTGATGTGTTTTCTTCAAACTCTGCCTCGCACAAGACTTTGTAAGAGGCACTTTTTCCTGCTTTAGCCCTCAAGGTTAATAAATCATAAATTACAATTGTTAAGGATTACAATTATTAAGAAAATAAAAAAAATGGCAGTGAAAGGAAGGATTTAGTGACGATGGGGTACTAACCAGAGCTTGAATTTGTGGCTGAAGCTGAATAGTCACTTTGAGCCATCAGAAACCAGAGATGTGGCAGAAGAAGTCCCTGCTGCCCTGTTGGGATGTTCATTGTGGCTCAGCACTGCCTGGGTCGTCGGTAAACTGATCCTCCTAAAAATTAGCCAAATGCTGCAAGAGATGGTTAGTTTTAAGCTCCTTCAGTTCCTTGATCTTCTGTGTAGAAAGACCATACAAGGCATGGAGGGGAGCAAATAGGTTGGCAGATGAGAGCAGGATTTTGGTGATAATACTGAAATTCCAGCTGGAAATAGTGATTAAAATGCAGCGTTTTTTACAAGAGAAGAAGGTGGCAGGAGTTAACGTGGTGGGTGTGAACATGGTGGATGGATAGGAGGTCTCATGCCAAGGGTCAATGTTACTACACAGAATTCTGCCAAAACCAGGGAGGGCTGGTAGTAGTTCTTTTCCCTGTCCTCCAGGCCAAAGATAAGATTAATCTGTAGAAAATAGAACTGTGGAAATGATCTTGGATTTGGAGTTTAGTGAAGCAACGAAGGAAGGAGGTGGCATCTCCTCTGCTGGTGGTTGGTAAGAACAGATTAGACAAATTGCTGCTGTGTTTGTCCTGGGCACATCCCACCCTGCAGGTCCCCGAAGAGCTCTCCTGTGACCACAGCCCTCGCACAACGAGGTTCGTGGTGGTTGCAGTTTGGAGAGCTTAACTCAAAATCCAGCGGAGTAACACAAATATTTTTCCATGTGGTGCCACACACGACGTCCCCAGTGGCCACTTGGTGGTTTCTTACCCGACGCTTGTTGGCCACCAAGGTGATCAATTTGTGGTCCCTCAGGGACTGGCAGCGCTTGGGTTATGTTTATGTTGGTTATGGTGGCACCTCCATGGGCTCAAGTCCTGCTTTCCCAGGCACTGCACCATTGCTGCTGAAGGACAAACCTTGCCTTGGAGGGAAGATAGACTAAAGGAGACTGAACAGATGAAGGAAAGGGAAGGAAAGGATGGTATAACATAGGAGCAAGTGGCACTGGGACAGAATTAATACAGCGTTGCTAAATATGTGCTTGGGATGGTATTCATTTTTAACTTTGGGCTAAGATAAGGGCCGGCCCAGCTGATAGGAAAGGAGTTTTCTCACTCCTCCCTAAACTTTTACATTCTCCTGAAGCATTTGCAAAAATGTTAACTGCTTGTGCTACCTGAGCTGCATCAAACACGCACCCAGAGGTAGGCTTTGTTGGTACCTGCTGTAAAAAACCATGCTGTCAAGGGGTTTTAATGATTATCTCAGCTGACGGTAGGATAAACGCTATTCCTCCTCATTTTTTCTCTTATAAGAATAACTAAATTAGAAGGGTCCTCTTTAGAAACTAATTCTATTATATCTCTTCCCTTCTTTCCTTAATAGCATCTGACGCTGAAGCGTTCTCATGCCTAGGCAGTCACACCATGCAAGCAGATGGGGTAGCAGCCAAGGACACTCACACCGTGTCCTGTTTGGTGCCATTTTTTGGATTTTAGGGTCAGCGTTACCACCTTACCCTTATGGCTGGCATTTTTTTGTGACACAGTGTGCTGCTCCTCATCTCAGTGTCGAATCCTGCTCGCCCCAACAGAGCCCTGGTTGTTGGTTTTAAGCTGCGGTGGAGCTTACCCGAGTACTTGTCACTGAAAGACAAGACATATGGTCAAATCCCTTTTCTAATACTGCCATTCAGCCCTGGGCTTTTAATCCGGGGAAGTAGTGAGAGGGAAGGAGAAGGCTTCCTTACCACCACCCACCCTTGGGGCGAGGAGAGGACAAACCCATTAGAGCACGAGCATCCCCTTCCATGCCTGTGGGAGGCATGGGACCAGCCCCTGGGGCTGGGTCATCCCACCAATGTGCTCCAGCACATGGGGTCAGAGAGAGCGACTCGGTGAGCAGAGGTCCTTACTGCCCCACGTCAAAATTCCTGCGTCTACAGGCTGCAGCCGGAGAGACCTGAAAGGCTTAAAAGGCTCCCACCACATAGCAAATTATATTCTCTCTTTGTCTCTATCTCTCAAGGCGTTCGAGTAGGCTTAACAAGCCACTGGGGACTGAAACAATAATATCGCTGTATCTAATGCTTACTGTAAGCAAAAGATGGATTACAAAATAGACTGTTTATTTTTAATTATTAATGTATTTGAGCTAGCAAACCTTTGCAGAGTTACACATTGTTTGTCATGGATGGAAAGGAGATGAACTATTTGGCAATGATATTAAAAACAATGATTATTCATTCCGGGCATGGCTTTTTTTTTTTTCCAAATTTGTAATAAAAATTTTTCAAAGCATACACTGGGGTAAGGCCAGAAAGAGTTTGTCTTGAAACAAAGGATGGCAGAAGTCAGGGTTTTCTTCCTAGTTCAGTGATAAAGCACTTTGCTTTGCTGTTCCTCAGTCTCCCAACTGATGGCTTAGCGCATTACAATTCTTTAAAGGAGCTGAATGAATCAAGGGCAGCTTTCAAAGTACAGCTTCTTGTGCTCCCAGGAAAGAGAGAGGAGAGGTATCGCAGTGCTATAGTTGACCAAATCAAATGCTGCTGGTGAAAGACTTGATCTCAAAGACGGCTGCTGAAGTTGTCTTCCACCCCCATGTCACTCCTTCCTCCTCGGTGTAACATACGCCATGCATATACCTTGGCAAAGAGCGATCAGTGCCCTTTATAAGACTACTATGGGCACAACTTGGGGAGAATTTCTTGCAGCCGAAGAGGCTGTACCCCGGCCCCCTCGCAAGCCCCAGTAAAGCTTGACCGTGCTTTTGCACCCCCTGCGCACGGGCTGCTTTGCAGAGTCTTGCTCCAGCAAAGCCTCCCCAGCGTGGGGCAGGCCCAGCGCCGCCTTGCTCTCCTCTTCCCAAGGATGCACCAGGGAAAATGCCTCCTCGGACTATTTACAGCGCTCTCCTTGCACCGCACAAGAGGAATTATCTGCCTCCTCCAGCCCTCAGCTGATCCCTAAATTGCATCTATTCTGCAAAGCTCAGTTTATTTTCATTTCATCTAGTAGTTTTAAGTATTGCAAGGAATAAAATGGACGTGCAAAGTGGTGTTTTAATTTTCAAGGGCAGTAAAGTGTTTTATTTTTAGGATGCTCTTACTGAGGAAAGAATCTCTGGCAGGTCTTATCTGGTGGCTAATAATAGTGACCTTGCGTGCCCCGAGCGGCGCTGGCGCTGCCGCCCTGCCCTTCTCATGCCGTCTGCTTACGCCGTTTGCTTCTGATCACCTCATTAAAGCCTCCAAAATTACAGAGTCGAATAATGTAATAACAAGGTTTGCTCATAATTATTAACTCCTTGCGCTCTGTGTTATTATGGAAGGGTAACGTTCATAATTAGAGAGCATAAATACTTACTGTAAGCAGGTTTTCTGTGCAGTCTTTAGAAAACCACCCGTATGTCACCATCTTTAATATCACATTAGAAAATACTGAGAAGGTGTAGCTCATGGCCAGAGAACCCTTTTAGATATAAACATCCAATTGACAGTTTTCAAGCAGTTTCTGCTGTTAACTTCAATATAAATCTTGCTTCCTAGGAGCTTTTTATTTTTTTGTAATCTGTTTATTGATAACAAATGGATCAAATGCTGAATGCATTTCACATTATTGTTGTTAGTGCAATTCCCCCAGTGACAGTGGTGCTGCTCCCAGTTTGTGGTTGCTGTTTGTCCCTGTGCACAGGAGATAAGCATCAGCATCTCAATGCACCAAGTGCGTATTAGAAAAACCCATATTGAAGTTTGTATCTTTTCTAAAACCAGAATTTGCTCTTGCAGTACAGCAGTGTTCCTGCAGCTTGTCATCAAACCCAGAAGCACGCTTGAGAAAGTATAAATAGAAATTCATTTTAGTAATGCAAATCCCGCAGTCCTATTTTGGGCAGGGAAAATCCCTATGTCATTTTTTTAGAAGAAGTGTGATGGTCTAGTTTTAAGACTGGGTTTATTAGGGATTTAATCAACCAGTGTGTTACAGTGGAGATTCTCCTCTGCCATTTAAATAGATCTGTTTCTGATTGATCTAGCTTTTACATGCTATAAATCCTTGCAAATTAGCTTCGGGTATGACCTCCTCCAGTAACTCACTCTGTTTTATTTACTTGAGTGTTTTTTGCAGATAAGTCCCCTCTCTTCTGTCTTCCATGACTCCACTGGGAAGACAATAAAGTGAAGAGACAAAACCCAAGTTTAAAATATTTCACTCCCTCATCTTTTGGTTTTTTCCCTTCAAGAGTTGCTGTTTGCTTATAAATCACAGTGTCCTAAATTGCTCGTATGAACCTTGCTACGCTGTTTAGTGACTTTGCAATGCTCTCTTTCTAATAGTTGGCGAACACCAGCTGACGGGGCACAAAGTAGCAGTAAAAATACTCAACAGACAGAAAATACGCAGCCTGGATGTGGTTGGGAAGATCAAACGAGAAATTCAAAACCTGAAACTCTTCCGGCACCCTCATATTATCAAACTGTAAGTACCCTTCCAGCCACGCGTTCAGCTTTCTCCTCCTTCTGCAAAGACTTCACACACACCGTTGAAGGGGTTTCAGGAGATGGCTTGGAGTAGTAGAAAATGTTAGGTGCGTGGTCAAGTTTTTGCATGTTAGAGCCAAACGCCGCTTTTTGAGAGTCTGCCACTAACTTACAGGGGGGACACAGTTGACACTTTGCGAAATGATGGAAGATGTTGCTTCCATTGGGAGTCTGGGTTATTGTGACAGCCAACAGAGGGATGTCCCTGCATCAGGTTTTGCTCAGCTAAACCTGTCCAAGCTGTCCTCTCTTCCATGCAGAGGCCATTATAAAGGTGCGTAGAGAGGGTCTGGGCTTTCCTGCACTGGGATGCTATTCGGAATTTTTGTGATGACCCTTTTTTGCCTTGATATCTCCGGGCTTGAAGCTGCTGAGAATTGTGCCTGAGGAACTGCAGCACGGTCAGGCTCGTAGAGTGAAGCCTTGGCCTGAAGTCAATAGGATTTACGTTTTAATGGCCTGATTATCCAGAGCTTAAAGGAACATTTTTTTTTAAAAATTTATTATTCAGACATCAGTTTTCAAAGTTGCCACTCTGATGAACCTGAATTTAAGTTGTAAATCAGCACCTGCACGCCAGCCTCTGGGATTCCTTCTCAATCCCCAGTTTGTGCAGCCAGTCCACATTAATGAGGCACTCGATAATATCTTTGGCATTTCTATAAAAGAAAGCTGTTGAATGGTAACTGCAAGGATAAGTTGACATTTAGGTCAGCCTTAAAACTGGCACGAGATATAGCAAATACCTGGGACTTAGTGGCAAGGGAAAACAAATTCTCTCTACAGTTAAATAACTAACCATGCAGCAACTATTGACTTTAGAGTAACTTCACAGTTCCATGGATTTATTGGAGAACAGATTGGTATTATTTCAGGAAAAAGCCAGCAAGAGTCCTCAGCTGTGCATCCAGCATCCTGCAAGTTAAGTCCTGTTCACACGTTTGTCAAACTATTAAAGCCTAAAAATTAAACCCAGTTTAACAATATCAGTGTTCTATGGTACGTACTGTAATCATGAAATACAATGATAAAGGAAAGAGGTGAGGAGGAGACCACGGTACATAAAGCTCCTCTTTCAATAGCTTTTTACATATATATAAAAGAAATAGTGGGGCTATTAACAATAACTTAGATGTCTGGGTCCAAAGCACTTCAGAAAAATAAAGTTGATCCTATTGATTTTTGTGGGACTATCACCCGTTCACTTGCTGATCTCTGAAAATTGTTTGAAATCTCGTTGTTTCAAATTACAACCCACAGAAATGTAAAAAAAAAAGGCAAACAACGTGTCCGAAATAAAACGGGGGGGGGCTCAGCCGGTGCTGCTGTGAATTCCTGTAGCTGCGTTGACCTCCGCTGATCACTGGCAGTTTGTACCGGCTGGGACACTGAAAGGCGTTTGCAGCGCTCAGGGATCATTTTGAATGAAAACGGAGAATAAATTTTTGAGTCGGGGGTGATACTCTTCTTTTTTTTCTCCCGTTCTAGAATATAGAGGGATTTAATAGTTGAAAAATAGCTGTGATCTTTTGGGGTGCTTGTCTTTGTTTCTATACCTTTCCAAAAGAAGCTCCCTCTACTGTCTAGATTTCTTCTTTATCTCCTTTATCCTTGATATGAGGGAAACCAAATATCCCCCTTCCCTGCCCCCAGCTAACAAAGCCTTCATTTCTAAAGCTGTAGTTGCAGATCTTAGCCAAAATGGAAATTTGGAAGTCAGGACAGTCTTAAATGCGATGGGATTGTCTGGCAGAGATTTCAGAGGATTATTTAAAAGCTTGAAGAAAAACCGTAGGTCTGTAAAAGAGATCCTTTCATAGACAAGTGAAAGATTATACTTGAAGTAGGAGATGGCTTTTCAGAAGTGGAGAGCAATTATAAATGCAAGATCCAAACAAATGCTTATTTTAAGGCTTGACGTGAAACTAACAATCTGTTTAAAAGCCTTTCCCTCTTCTTAGCTATTTTTTTCTAAATCTGCCTGTGTTTTTGAAGGTACCAGGTCATCAGCACGCCAACGGACTTCTTCATGGTCATGGAATATGTATCTGGCGGTGAATTATTTGATTACATCTGTAAGCACGGACGTGTAAGTGCCAGTACCGTGTCAGCCCAAACACTTGTGTGGGAAGAGGATGGTGTTTAGAAGCAAAACGACTGCTAAAGGGAGCACGGTTAAGGTTAAGGCCCAAAATAGAAGTTGCTTCACAGCAATCCCGTCTGGAGTGTCTCATACCCGGCTCGCACAAAAGTTGCGTGTGATTTTTTGCAACGTTCTCTGATGTATTTCGATACGCAAACCAAAATATCCAAGGTAACATGTTGCTTAGTGTAAATATTTGGAAAACTAGCCTATTTTTGTAATTTTTAGCTATGGGTTGCCTGTCAAAACCCCCACGGTGCAGCAGCAGATTTACGTGTGCAGGGCACCGGAGGGGAAGAGCGCTCGGTGTGGTCTCTATCCCAGTCATTTGCCTCCCCCTTGGCTCCACGTCAGGTTTTTTGAAGACTTTTTAAGGATGTGGCTTATCTGAACAATGTTTTCAAATGCCAGTAATCCTGCTGGGTGTAATGTAAATCACATGAGGCGTAGGTTGAGCCCATGAAATGTGATATTACGGTTACAAAGAAAATCACTAGTCTCTGCCCCGTGGACATCCTCGTAGGCAGGGAGCAGTCGCAGGGCGAGGAGATAAAAATGGGCTGAAGCGGACATCCAGAATAAGGCTTCAGGTGAAGGATCAGCCCATCATACATTTTTCTGTACTACAAAAATCAATACGTTTACAATAAATTGGTTTAGATTAGTGCACTGGTCGATGGAGCTGACTCCATTAACTTTTCTATGTACAGTTCTGATTGCCAGCATGTTTTACCCATCTGGGTCTTTTCAGTGACTAATTTGGATCCTTTTGCATTCAGAAACTAAATTTTTCATGAAGAGAGTCTTTAGGAAGTCATCAGTAAAAATAATCAGTCTCCTCATCATTTTAAATATAATTTCTTTACTACAGTTCATAGAACTTTTATATAGCTAATATAGCTATATAGCTAATTCAAATCATCACAATATTCCACCTTTAGCTTTTTTTTGCAAAGCTGCCTGTCCATGGGGAATTGCTCCCTGCAGCATCCTCTGCGGTGTTTTGTCCAGCCTTGATCTGCGTATGCTCTGTAGCAGAACTGGTCCTAGTGGGACAGCAAGCCATTGCCTCATAGGTGCCACCAATAAGTTCTTCTTGATAGCTCAGCTAAATTTAGGTTTCTAATTTCATCTCTGGGCTATATCATTTGCAAACACTAGCACATTATAAAATGCAAGGGGGGAAATCTGCTTTATTTGCTGCTTCTGGTCACAAGCACGCTGTGATTTTCTCTCTGCACCCTGGAATGTTTTGGCTCCTTGCTAAGTCAAACCTTCCCTTGCCAGCTCCGCACACAGACCAACCTTCAGGACTATTTCCCCTTGCGTCCGTAGGTTGAAGAGGCAGAAGCTCGACGCCTTTTCCAGCAGATTCTCTCCGCGGTGGATTACTGCCACAGACACATGGTTGTCCACCGAGACCTGAAACCAGAGAACGTGCTGCTGGACGCACAGATGAATGCAAAGATAGCCGATTTTGGTATGTGACCCCAGCAGCATTCCAGAAATGCAGCCAGCTCCGAGGTGCTTGCTGGAGCGTGTCCGTGTAGCACGCCTTACAAAACCCAGAGCCTGTTTTCCTAACCACTAGCAGTTGCTTTACCTGAAAAGCCCACAGTTATAAACACCAGCCTTTTTGCAAAAGCAGGGATTACTCATTGTAGGCTGCTTCTGTACTGGCATTAAGAACGGAGCAGCAAAGTAATTTGCAAATCTTCGCTATGTTTTAGTATAATCACCTAATATAAAGATTTAGCTAGTTTATGTTTAAGACGGACTCGATGCAGTTAATTCCAGGGTGAGCTGGCTGCATGTGTTTATTTTCCTGCGTGTTCTCTGTACGTATGGCCACGTGCTCTTGACCTCACTTCATTTTACAAATGAGCAGTAACAGGAGTCTTTAAGTGGCATTACCGATTGAAATCCATTGAAATAGCTGGGCTACCAGCTCGGTCCCGGGGAGTCCTTTCTAACAGTGATAAATCCTTTTGAAGATTTACTAATTTCACAGCCCCACACAATTCTTATATAAAGTAAGTGCTCTGGGATGAATTATGTCTCTTTTCCGCTGTGCTGTGGGATTTGCAACTTAGAGAAGGAAAATTAGCCTGGAGTGAATATTCTGTGATTGGATGTGAAAATATCGATAACAACAACAACAATAATAATAATAATTTGCAAATCAGCTCAAAGGAATCTATCTAAATGATGTCAACAGTTCCCCTCCAAATTTCCCCCTCCACTTGCTGTACCTCTCCTCCTCTGTGCGACATGGAGTCCTCTGTGGCTGGACCTTCACATCAAACATCAATATGTAGTAAACATCTTGTTTTTAGGCTTGTCCAACATGATGTCAGATGGCGAATTTCTACGCACCAGCTGTGGTTCCCCAAATTATGCAGCCCCTGAAGTCATCTCTGGAAGGTAGGACATTCCACTTCTAATCAGAGCCTATGTGAGCACATGGTCTTTAAATTTGTTCTTGGGATTGGAAACAGCTTTGCACATCTAGTAAAAGCAGGTGAATCCTTCCAGCCTGTAATATGTTTGGGGGAATCTACTGGCAAAAATCTGAAAGTTTTCTTGGTTATTGTATTTCTCAATAACTGTGATAGCAAACCGTGTTTTGCTAAAGATGTTTACTTTGGAGGAATTATTAATAGCAGATGTTGACTGTTTATATCGCTAATTAAAGAGGGTGAAAATTACTGAGGTTTCAGATGGAAAGGCTTTTCCAGGCCACTCCATTCTCTCCTGCCCACCAATAATATAATATAACTCAGTGTTAATAAGGAAAACCATTCACTAACAGAAGAATCAGGAAGATCTTTAATCACCTCCCTACACTGTTGAACTCTTGTATTGAAAATACTTGTCTTCTGGTTTCTTAAGCTAGAGGTTTTGTTCGTGACAGTAGGTTCCACCATCATAACTTTGTTTTGAATTGATGAATTGAATTGACAAACCTCCAGTGTGGTTGCATCTCTCAGCGTGCAACATCTGTACAACACGTGGCACGTTGAACGCACTCTGCAAGGTTGAATTGGACTTTGCCATGGTGATACAAAAGTGTTACCTCCTGTATTTTACTGTCAAGAACCTAGGTTACCTAGAATGTACTTATTTCCCTAACTCTCCCTATAATAGCATAGCAAGGATTGCAAATACAGATTTTTCAAATTTTCCGTCCTCTATATGGTCCTTCAAACTGCCCATCTCCGCATTACCTGCCCCATATTTTTGAATCACCCTTTGCATGAGCATTAGTTTTCCTAATCCAGTGTATTTTGCCTACAACTGTAGCTTTTAAATACAACATTTTGTTCCAAGTGTCTTAGCTGTGATTATGATTATTTTATCCCTGTTTACACCAGTGCAAGCGTTGGCAGAGTATCCTAGGAATTAGACCAGCATCCAAAACCCCTGTTGTGACTACAGTTCTATGTGCGAAAGCAAGTAAATCCTCATTGTCAAGAGGAGGACAAAGCCAGAAACTCTACTGTGATTCCAAAAAAGTATTATTTCCATGCCCTTTTCAGTGAAGGCCAGAAGCACATTATTTTCAGTTCATATAGGAGACAAGGCACATGGCAGATCAACAAAAGGATTTAGTCCCTCTACGCAGAGCCTGATCTTCCCAAGGATACAGGCAATGCAGCTTATTAACAACAAAAGTAAGAAAGAAAAACAAAACCAAACCTACACGTTGCACTTTTTCACCAGCTACTGCCGCAGCCCTCCCGCGTCAGTACCGCTTACGGTATCGGTGAGCCTTGATTTTTATAGCCCTGAATTCTAGGCCAAGCTGCCCTCTTCTCAAAGCTGTAGCAGCGTACGAGAGCTGCGTTTGGCGGGGGGGAGAGGCATGATCTGCTGTTCCTGCAGCGGGACGAATGCCTTGCCGGTGGCTGTGCAGGACAGGGCTGAGCTGGTTCCCGGCTCCTGCTGCCTTTGCTGGGTAGAGCACAAAAGCAGTAGAGCGTGACAGCTCAGGTTTCAGAGTCATAAAAGTGCATCTCATTTGGGCTTAAAAGTCCAATCAGCGGTTCAAGCAATGTGGTTATCAGCAAAAGAATCAGCTTCCTACCTGTTGGAGTTGGGCATGGAGGCAGGACCAAGGGGGGGCATCTAGCTAATTGTCCCCATTCCCAAAATGACTTTGCTGCTGTCCCTGGCCTCACCCTTGGACAAGCAGAGCTGGTGTTTTGGTGTTTTGCTGGTGTTCAGAGAATGACCGCATGCATGACCGGTGCTTTTTTGTCTGCGGCGGTGCTTTTCAGGAGGAGCAAGTGCAGGATGATGAGAGTTCTGTATTTCCATTTCAACCTCTGTATTTTGGTAGGATTTTACAGCCCAAGGATAGGCACTGCCTCCCAAAATCACTGAGAAAGCATCAGTTGTAGCAAAAAGAGAGAAATAAAGCAAGCAAGCAAGCAGCAGCAAAACCCGTATATTTGGGGTGTACGAACTTGCGATGCCAGGGAGCACATTAGCAGCTTGTCGGAAGCGGGAGCACTTGCATACCAGCATACAAACTTCAACCGAAAATAAACACTCGGAGTCACAGTATCTGCTGCTGTTTAACCTGCCTCGCTGAATGAACAGAAATTGCTGGCTGAGTCCTTGGGGCAAAGGAGCAAACAGCCTGGCAGAGCTCTTGGAAATGTGGGGTTTGGCTTTTTGGAGGGTCTGCTGGAAGCAGGGATGTACACAGGGATGTACACAGGGATGTACACAGAGATGTACACAGCAGCCAGCGCCAGCCCCTGGCCCCTGAGGGATTTTGGCTGCAGCAGGTTTGGCTGGGGGCATCCGCCTGAGCAGCCCTGGGGTGGGCTGCAGCTCTGGCCCCGGTGGAGCCGGCAGCGGGTCCCCAGCTCGCCCAGGAGCTAAGGAGAGGAGGAGGAGGGGTGACCCCTTTCTCCTGTCCTTGCCTTCGCACAGGCTGTACGCTGGCCCGGAGGTGGACATCTGGAGCTGCGGCGTTATCCTCTACGCCCTTCTCTGCGGCACTCTGCCTTTCGACGACGAGCACGTCCCCACCCTCTTCAAGAAGATCCGGGGAGGTGTGTTTTACATCCCCGAATACCTCAACCGCTCCGTTGCCACCCTCCTCATGCACATGCTGCAAGTTGACCCCCTCAAGCGAGCAACCATCAAGGACATCAGGTCAGCCTAGGTGGGATGGGGTGGGCTGGCCGTGTTCGGGGGCTCCGGCGTACCGGTGGCAGAGGATGGTGGCTGTCCTGGGGGTCACCTGCTGGCAGGTGGCAGGGTGGTTTACAGCAGCAGTCAGCTAATCCAGCTGGTTTTTGTCCCAAGTGATTCAAGGAGCACTCGTGCACCCTTCTGTGCTGATAGAGAGGTGGGTGCTGCCAGCTGGCAGTGGGTGATGATGAACGGGGTGATGATTTCATATACATTATGTATAAAAAATGCTATTTCACTGCATTGTAAAATAGCCTCAAAAATCTCTTAATAGTGCTTGGCAAAACCAGCTATATCATGCAATAATCCTAAGAACTTAATATCCACCAGTCGTTTTTCATTACTTTATTTCAAGACCACCTCCCTCTGGGTGCCAGTTCAGAAGAAGAGGGTAATGATTGTACTTAGTGTCTATCCAATAAAAAAGGAGGAGGAACACAAGAATTACAAACTGAATCTGTAAATATCAGATATAGTTTAAAATGTGAGCAAATGGTTCATCTTTAAATGCAGCGTAGTTTTCTTGTCTAGTCAATGAGTGCAGTGCCCATGAACCTTTTATCTGCATGCGTCACTGTGGAAATTCAAGGTAAAGGGAACAATTGGGCTCTTCAGCAGATATTTGTGCCTGCAGAGATCATTAAAAGTTCATGGCTGGTAGTAGGACTTCAAAATTCTCACAGTCTGAGCCTTTTTAGAAACTTTTTGTAAAACTGGAGCGTGATACGTGTTTTATGAAATTTATAGTGATCATCACATCTAGCTGGTGTGCTAAGCATATACATAAACGTTACTAGGGCTTTCAGGAGTTCTCAGGTTTTTAATGCATTTGCAATGGATAGCCTTAATTTTACCCTTCAAGTAAAACCAAGTAAAATGCCTTTTTTATTTCTTAATTCCGTAAGACTAGAAGATCTAATTACATGTTAGAGCAGCAGCACATGTGGTGAGATTACAGTTGATACATAGAACCTATAGACAAGGCTTTCTGTGGCATTTGGCCACTTAATTATCATTGACTTCATTGTAAGTCGGTGGGAATCAGGTACCTGGATAGCTTTGATCCTCTTGTATCTCTAGCAGACCCACAGCAATCAAAAAGCGCGAGCATCTTGTAAGCACTGAGGTCTTATTTCAAAGCCGCGTGAGCAAGCAGCCGTGCTTGCAAAGTGTCATCGCTGTTGCGATACTGGGGGGACCGTGCAAGGCTGGGCTGAGCTCCCCAATCTGCAGCTGAGGATTAGTCTTAGCTAGACCAAGCGAGGAACTGGTGGCAGTGGTTGCCCCCGCTTGCCTTGCACAGAGCTCACAGCGGCTCCTCGGGGCCTTTCCCCAGGGAACACGAGTGGTTTAAGGAGGAGCTGCCCAGTTACCTGTTCCCAGAGGACCCTTCTTACGACGCCACCGTCATCGACGACGACGCGGTTCGGGAAGTTTGTGAAAAGTTTGAATGCACGGAGTCGGAGGTGATGAACAGCTTGTACAGCGGTGACCCTCAGGACCAGCTGGCGGTGGCTTACCACCTCGTCATCGACAACCGGAGGATCATGAACCAAGCCAGCGAGTTCTACCTCGCCTCCAGCCCCCCCACCGGCTCCTTCATGGACGACAGCGCCATGCACGTCCCTCCCGGGGTGAAGCCGCACCCTGAGCGGATGCCGCCGTTGATAGCGGACAGCCCCAAAGCGCGATGTCCCTTGGATGCCCTCAACACCACGAAGCCAAAACCCCTGACTGTCAAAAAGGCCAAGTGGCACCTGGGAATCCGCAGCCAGAGCAAACCCTATGACATTATGGCCGAGGTGTACCGTGCCATGAAACAGCTGGACTTTGAGTGGAAGGTAGGGAATGCTGGTGCTTCGTGGTGGTTTCAAGGGTCTTTTTCTCATAAGCTGAATTGCTCAGGGGGTTAATAAGTGTGGTTACGGCCTCCCCTGTTTCCAAATAAATGCCCACACCTTGCGATCATCCCTGTTATTTCTCATTAATACAAACAGGCTGAGTTAAGATGCCAGCTGTGGTTCAATACCTGTGGTGTTTATTCATGGCATGAAATAAGAGTTTTCTTTCTGAATGCTCTAAGCCCCGACTGGAAAGATGATTCTGCCTTGTTTAGCTGCGGGGATAAGAGGACATGGTCACATTTCTAATTTTAGCGGCTAATTCCTTGCGAGGTCATCTCGGGTGCTCCTGAGCAAAGTAACTCTCGTTATTTCTGCTTGGATCCTAGCAGTCGTGTGAGCTGAAATGGCACGGCATGCGTCTTCTTAAAAGATGCGCAGGTGAGGGGCGGGGGGGGAGGCGTTGGCGGCAGGAGTTTGTACCATTGATGTGGTGGCATTTTCCTCGATGGAGGTGGAGCGGTGCTGGTGGACCAGATGTGCTTTCTGGTCCAGACACTTACTGCTTCCCCGGTTTAGGGCTCAGCTTCCTGAAGCTTGATTTAAACCCAGATGACATTTTAGTTGACAGCACTCACCTCGGATATTTCTTCAGAGCTACACAGCATTTAGTCACAATCTTTTTCAAAGTCCGATTAATAAATCCCTAAGTTAGCCCTTAATATTTTCTGCTGAGCCTGATTCCCTAAATCTCGGTGCAGTCGCTGACGTGAGCTCTCCTGACTCATGGCCTTTCGCAGCAGCCTCGTGTGAGCATCGGGAGCAAGGTGAGGAGAATTTCAGCCCAGATCTTCATCACCAGAGGAGATACGCTCCTCGTTCCAGGTCCCAAGGGTTGTACAGTGTGAACATCACTGTGCCGCTTCTTCGGAGCCTCCTATCTCCTCCTTATTTTTGATAATATTACATATTTAAAGCCAAGTAGCACCCAGAAACCTGATTTCACTGCGCCAGCCAGGAGATGGACTGTCTCCAGATGCATATGCCTACACCAGCCAGACATTTGTTAGCTGCGTGGTTTTACAGAGAGCGAACAAACCTGATGTATTTCTGGTACAGCTTCACAAACCAAATCAGCCCAACGTCTTCACGTAGGCAGTGGAGCTAATTTTATACGAGGAGGTTTCACAATAGTCTTTTCCACCCTAAGAACAACTTCAGATGTGACTCTCCATCAAAACAGCTTTCCCATCCATGCAATTGCTTCGTAAATGTAGCACAGAGAAAAGATCTCATTGCAAATGAGATGCAGCAGATTGCAGGGTGGGCAAGAGAAAATACACAGCTCAAGGCTGATTCATGAACACCGAATTTAGCTGCGCCGATGGGAGAGGTTACTCTCCCCAGCTCCCAGCCTGACCTGGTTTCACAGGCACGGTACTCGTACGCGGGTCCACGAGTGGACTTTTTGGCTCGTATGGCCATTGCTGCTGGTGAGGGAGGAGCAAACGTCACTTTGGTGCCTGGCAGATGGGTCACAACAGCTTCGTCTGCTAGCAGCTGGTGAATCAGAGCCCTAAGAAGCATTTTTAAAGATAGAAGGAAATAGGATAAGAAGCCGTTTGCTTAATTTTATAGGCATTGTTCTTTCTAAAAACTGTGGTTTTCTCAGAAGATGTCTCGCTAGCATTTAGAAAAAAATAAGGAAAGAAATGTTCTTCTTGCTACCTTGAATCTTACTCCTGAAAGCAAGTTTCCCATTGCAGGTGGTGAACTCCTACCATCTCAGAGTGCGCCGCAAGAACCCGGTGACGGGCAATTACGTGAAGATGAGCCTGCAGCTCTACCAGGTTGACAACCGTAGCTATCTCTTGGACTTCAAAAGCATCGATGGTAAGCGGGAAATGGTGCAACATGAGATGTAAAACACATAAAATGGCAAGTTTAGAAGTTTAAAAAAAAATGTAAAACCATTCTTTGCATTTTGAAATGCTTATGCAGCTGTTTCAAGTCGGCGCAAGCCCTTTTGATCTATTTGTCTCCACTACTGTTACTAGCTGAGGGAACTGGGGCTGTTTAGCCT